AAGCTTGTTATTTTAAAGCTTATAGTAACATAATCAGAAGATCTAAAGTTAGCAAATCTCATTAGTTTGGAATATGTATTAATATTTATTACCAAACAGATAATTGCTAGAAGGTGTGTTACCATTCACCAGACATAGTGAAAAGTGCTTTTAAATCTTCTTCTGTAAAAGAAGTCTCTCTTCTCCTACTCTGCACCTGTCAGCTCCTGTTTCAGGGGTTAATGTGACACTCCATGTACTTCCACAGTGTGACTGCATATTTTATTCCTCATTTACAAGTATGTGTAAGCGAAAGAGAGAATGTGGGAATGACAAAGACTAGAGCAAGACTGGAGAAACCTAAAACTACTGTGGATGTAAGCTATGTATAAAGCAATTAAAATGGTGCCACTTCAAAATTCTTTATATTTATAGCTCCTGATGAGACTTTCTTGAAGGCACTGAGAGACTACTTGCTGTGGTGCTTGCCAAAGCAGGCTTGTAATTATAGCAGCACTTGATGGACTTTGTGGGTAGCTGGGATTTTAGTCACTGTGCATCTCAGGAGGCATCTGGTCTGCAATTGATCTGCTGGGAACATGTTTTTGGATGAACAGGAATGATGCTTCTCAGGGACATTTTGCACACATAACTCCTGCTGCAGACCATTATTTTGGAGTAAATGATAGACAGTAAAAATGTTGCCGAGCTAGTAAGAGCTTCTGGCTTTATTTTTTCCAGCGTTTTTCTTCCTTTTTTGAAAGTGGGATGAAAGGAAACTGCAGTTGATGTAAGTTGTAGGCTCTCAGTTCCCAAAGCAGTTGCTGCAGCCTGTTCTTCAGAGTGCTTAATAAATAAATCCTTGAGTAAAATTATTCAAATTATTTATGTTAAAGAAACTCACTTTTTAAACATCTTACGTTTTGAAGTGCAGCAATAAAGCATGATTTTTGTCTTTGATAACCTCATGGCTTCCTTTTTTTGCAGCCCACAATTTGGTTTGAGTGGACTAATGAGTGCTGAGCAAATCCTTCTGCCATGAAGATCTTTTTCTAGGCAGCTCAGCATCCTTGCCTTGTTTGTCCTGTTCAGGATTCATAGTGAGAGCTTAGCAGTTAAAAAAAAAAAAAAAAGTTATTTTTAATATTGTCCTTTCTCATTTTGTCTTGTGATTCTGGCTGGTATTTCTCAGATGAATGTTTCCTGCCTGTTGAAGTGCTCATGACCTCAATATTCTTGTTAGCAGTTCTTCTCAAGTCACATGCTGGTTGCTTCTTTCTCTAATAACTTTTTTTCCCTTGCACTTTCAGTAAGCAGGTGAACATCTGGTGCAGGAGCAATTCCCTGCTAACACACATTTTGTCACACAACACATCTTGACACCAAAATAACTTCTGTTGGATTTATTCCTTGCTTCTCTGTTGTCTTGGGCTTGTGGAAGGCTGTGAATAGAGACTGGAATCACACTGATAATCTGAACAGACTGGTCATGCTGTGCTCTGTCTTTGACCCTCGGATGATTTTGCAACTGAATTTGTTTTAAATTAGTCAATGTTTTTTTAAAAATATTTCAGGCTAACTTCAGTGTTTGCTTTTCTGATTCCTTGAATTGACTTCTAAGTGCAGTGAACAGTTGCAGAAGAGTTTATTGCGTGGACCTTAACAGCAGTGCCAGAAATTATTCTGGTTTGTAAAGTGGTGGCTGTATTCAGGTTGCATTGCTTTGGGGTTACATTGGTTCTCCTTGTTGTGAAGTGGAATTTACTCATTCCACAGACTTTTAAGCTTTTTAAATGTCCTGAATGTGTCTTCACCAGCTCCTCAAGTATCGTTAAATGTCATTCCTAAGTTTCCCTTGTATTTTAGGAACTGGTTCTTCTCATGATTTTGAGTAAGATTCAATTTGTGTTTCTTGTCTCTTCAACTGTCCATTTCTTAAAGAAATTCAACACAAACTGCTGGGAGTGAAGACTTCACTTGAATTGAACATGAAATGTCAGTCATGTTTTTTGTTCACCTTCAGCAGAAAAAATGTGCCCTTCTTAGAAGTGCTGTAAAATGGAAAAAAGTTGAGTCATTAGGTCTTGTGTAATTTCAAGCACTAACTTGAAGTGCTGTTACAAAGACCTTAACTTTTTTCAGTTTTAAACCAAGTATTTAAGACTTCCTCTTGAGTTTCGATCAGGTGCCAAGGACAGGAAAGGGTGTCACTGCGTTAGGTGTAGGTAGGTCGTCATACTGATTGATTTATTTTTAATTTTTACAAGTTAGGTGCATCATGTCATGCTTGTTTATTCATCTTTACACATCGAAATTATTTGAGTGTAAAGTTATTCAGAAAATCATTGTAGAAAGTTAGGCATTTGCTTCCTCCTTCCCCTCCCTAGTCCTCTTGGGACGTTATGATACTTGAGGCAGGAGCGATAGTTAAACATAGTGTTTAAAAACAGCACAAATGCCTCATCTGACTTTAGGAAACTTTTTCTGTTACTCTGTTTACCTGGAGTGCTTCCTTCTTTCTTCTTTATTACATATGATTCCACCAAGTTTCCTTTTCCTGGGACTTGTGCTTCTTATAGGTTGATAGGTTTGTGTCTACCAGCTTGTTTTCCTCTCTTGAGGCAATGTACACACTCTTCATCATGAATGAAGATCAAAGTTCACTTATAAAACTGGTCTTCCCAGACTGCACAACTGCTTGGAAATGAGACTGTCAGCCTCACAAGCAATGAAAATACAGTCACCAGATCAAGCTGAAGTCCCTTGGAGGAAGTAGTTTGCTCATTAAAATGGTGAAAGAGGAGAGATCTCAGGAGCCATGAATCTTTTTGCACGCTATCTCCCGTGGCTGGCATTGCAGAAGACAGCCAGTCAACAAAGCCTGTGGTGATGGCAGGTGACTTGGAAAGAAGCTGGATGCCAGTAATTAAGCTGTTAAATCGTGTGTGTTTTAGTTATCTTCATAATTGTTAGAAAAAATGTAAAATAGAGGGGCTGAGGCTTTGTGATAGCAATGGTCTATCAGCATTAGATCATGCGAGAAGAAACAAATGGAAGCAACCAGTTTAATTTAAATTATTTTGCATTGGATTAAAAAATGAGAAGAGAGGATTTTCTTTTAACTCTTGGAAAGGATTCAAGATGAAAACAAGCACAGGGCTGGAAGCTTGTTTAGGCTTGATGTGAGAATCTTGAGAAGACAAAACAGTATCTCCGTTCCTCCGATTGTCACAATTTGGAATAGATTTTTATTTTGATTGATGTGGACTTCAGGACTCCTGAAGCATTATTCCTGAATTGATTTTTTTGAAGTGGTTTAGCAAGAACAGGGTGTAAGAGAGTAAAAGTCAGTGTTTGAAGAGCAGTATCTGGGGCCAAAGATTTAAGTATTGAGCCAATTTTGAATTTAGAAGATTAAAGCAGTGTGTAAATATTTCAAGAGGATGTAACTGCTTTTGAGGTCACTGTTGCTGCACTTGAAAAACATTTTCACCTGATGCACCAAGCCATGTGCTCAGATTGCCAGGGACACCTCAATTCTGCTCCAGTCCTTTTCTGGGGCTTTTAAATACCTCGTGTGGCTTTTCACTTTTCCTGAGGTGGGGCTTTCCTGTATCCCCCCCAGAGTGTGACAGAAAGCAAGCACAGTGCTCCTCTTTATGTTTGCACTGAATTCTCTGCAACTGTCCATAAATATGATGTGGAATTAGATAGGACCTGTTCTAGGTAACCAGGGGTGATGTGGACTAGAAGGGGCACATTAATGTAGGAGGTCACAAAAAGTGTGCCAAGCATTTTGTTGATTTGGAAGGTAGCTTAATAGAATCACTCTGTTGTGCCATGGGAAAACTGTCCCACTTGTTGATTCACACTGAAAATCTGAAATCAGATCCCTTGATTCTTTATTTTTTTCCCCTTTTGATGTCTGAATATTTTAATGAATCGAATGTGACAACCAGGGCAGACTTCCCCAACCACTCAGCTTTCCCAAAGCTCATGAAGACTCTCTTGATAAATCCATGTGTGTGTGAGCAAACTCAGAATCTTGCCAAATCTTGGTTTTGTCAGACTTGTAATTTTTTTTTTAGGAGCAATGTTTTTGGGCTAGGCTATGTTAAGCAGAAGGATTAAACTGAAAAATGAGCTTTTGGCATTAATCCAGGATTTATTTAACATGGTTGGGGAGGAATATTCTGGAGAAGCATTGCAATGATGCAGTCCTAAATTGTAGCATTTTAATAAGAGAAAGGATGACATTCCTCTGCAGTCTTGCTGCATGTTTCTGCAACTGTTGCTTTATCTGTCATTGTCCATCCTGGGGGATTGGTAAGGGTGGTGCCTGATGTGGGACTGAAGAAACATCTACTTTGCATCCTCAGAGAAGGTGGGGGTTCCTAGTCCTTGCCCACAACACAAACTCTTTTATCATGTCCATCTAGGAGAAGAAAACTGTTTAAAGAGCTCTCTGCTGCATGTGGGGAAAAAATGTGCAGGAGAGTGACTTGGGGTCAGTACTAATTCTTTATCTTAGAGTCGATTCATTCAGAGGTGCTCACAGCTAGGAGATGTCCTTGTTCTCAGGGCTGTTCCTCCAAAGGTCCTTCTCTCATTAGCTTCAACAGTCCAGTGTTATTTCAGATGTTTTCAACATGCTGCTTGCAGCACAGACCTTTTTCCTTCTAGATGATACACCAGTAAAATAGTGTATTAGTAGAGCAGTAAAAATAGTTTGTGAGAAAAGATTTTGCATAGCAGAAAAAGGAGATCATGGGAAAAGACCACAATAGCTGGAGCTGACCATGCCCACCAAAACAGGAGACATTCCCACTGTTCATAGAAGGTCCATTGGTACTGTTATGAATTGCAGGTCCAATACCATAATTCTAATTTTTACAGAGAGCTTTTGTTGTTGTTTAGAAGTTCTGAAATTCTCATTTTGCCTAAATAACTGTGAATCTTGCTTAATATTTTCCCTGTCATTTCACACTTTTTTTTTTTTTTCTACTTTTTTTCAAAGGCCCAAAATGTTCAGCACAGCAAGGACATGACTCTTGCCAGCAACCGCAGCCTGGCAGAAGGCAACCTTTTGTACCAGCCAAAGTTGGAGTCTTTGAAATCCAATTTGACTGAGAAATATCAGGAGCTGCAAGTTCTTTTTGAAGCCTACCAGATAAAGAAAACCAAACTAGGTAACGTGTCCTGCTGACGTTTGTGATTTGCTGTTTTCTGAGTGAATGTGAATCTGTTGTTTGGTTTCTAGCATATAATTCTTAGCTGTGTAAATTAGGATACAAAATGAAATGTCATGCTTGTGTAGTTCTGAAATAGTAATGTACGAAATGTAATTCTGCTTCTAATGATTTATTAAGCACCTGTTACACCTAGTAACAGATACTGTGGATTCTTTCTAATACTGTGTGGTTACCTATCTACTGTTCTGTAAGTGATCAAATTCATTTACCTTGCTAAAAAGCAAAACAGAATTTGAATTTTCATTGATTAATCATCAATCAAACAGAGTATTGCATTTAACTTTCTCAGATCATACTGAATTACGAAGTAGAATGTGTCTGATACTGCACTTACTGAAGTCCTTTGTCTTTCAATATTATAAGTATCATGGTAATTAAATTTTGGCTTTTAGCACCAACAATATCCCTAAGCTACTTAGTGTATTTTCTGACTGTAGATCACCCTGTCTAGAACAACGGACTGTGCTAGTTGTACAGAGTGCTTTAAAACTGTTTCTGCTTGCTGAGGCTGTAGAGCTTCAGGGAGATGTCACTCAGAGCCTGTTGCCATTTACTGCTCTTGTTGTGCCCTTGCAGACAGACAATCCAGTAATGCTTCCCTGGAGACACTGCTGGCACTGCTGCAGACAGAGGGGGCTAAGATTGAGGAGGACACAGAGGTAATGACAATACCCTTCAATTCTGCCACTCACACCCAGCACAGAAGGCTTTCAGTGCACGTAGCTGCAGTGCTGAACGTGTAATAGGCTTAAGGGATGTTGAGAATATGGTCTGGTCTCTGCTCTGAACTCCAATGGACTTGGTTTCAGTGACAATTTTTTTATCTTGAGTAACTTTTTACTCTAACATCTTTGAAGTTTAAGAGAGAAGATGCTCCTTTTCAGAAAAGAAAGCCAAACTCTCTTAGTTCCTTGGTGTTGCCTTCAAACTCACGGTGTATAAACGTGGAATTATTTTTTTTTATGGTGTTTGCCTGGTGTATGATTAATCCACTACAAATGTCAATTAGTAACCTAATGAAAAATTCTGCCTGCACTTTTTTCCTCTGGTATTTCCATTGAAATATTCCATTAGGATTTGAATGTATCTGTCTAGGTGCCCTCAGTCAGTGATACAAGTGCTTCAAGGGTGATCTGTTTCCAGATTAATGGAAATGTTTGGGTTTGTTCCTTGCTTTGCCTCAGGACATTTTCTAGACTACATAACAAGTTAGCAGCAGTGAAAAAACCTGCTTATTGGCTCTGAGTTGTGATCACAAAAAGATATTCCCAGGACAGTTTGAATTCTGTGATTATATGCATGGTCAGCTCTCTTTATTTAACATCATTTACCCAAAGCCAGAAGTAAGTGTGAGTATTAAACCTGGCTTAGCAATAATCTGCCTCCCTGTACTGAGGCTTGCAGAGTTCTGAGTGTTCTGTTGGCATTGCAAGCAGCACTGAGCTGTAATTCAGCTCAGCTGCCAGTCTGGAAAGCTGCTGAACTTGATTTGTTCCCATCTCTGATGAGCAGAGGAATTTTCAGAGCTAGATTTCTTACTTTCAGATGTTCTTACTGCTGTTGCTTCAGTATAAATTTAAGCAAAAGAGATGCCTACCTCCCAGGGCTCCTGTGAGTAATGACTAATTTAAAATTGTGCTCAGAATTCCTGGTATGCCAGTCCTCCTCCGTATGCAAGCTGGAAAATCACAGGCAAAGTTAGGCTATTTTTAGGACACAAGCCATTGAGATTCACTTGCGGTTTGCTGTTTTCTAAAGAGATTGTTCCATATTTGACAGAATATGGCAGAAAAATTTCTTGATGGTGAAATACCTCTGGATTCCTTCATCGACGAATACCAGAGCAAGCGGAAACTGGCTCACCTGCGGCGGGTGAAAATCGAGAAGCTCCAGGAAATGGTGCTGAAGGGACAGAGACTTCCACAGGCCCAGCCCAGGGCACCTGAGCCAACACCAGCACCTCAAGATTCCTTCCCTTCGGATGCAAACGCTCCTCCTTCAGTCCTTCCCCGACGGATACCGCCCCCTCCACCTGCAGCCCCAGCAGGACGCTTCCCTACTCCCTTTACTGCAGCCATGAGTTCAGGACCAGCTCTTTCTTACCTAGGTGCTCCGTACCCTCCTCTTCCTCCTCGGCCAGGAACTCAGTCTGCCAGTCAAATTCCACAGCCAGGATACCCATCTCAGTTTGTACCACAGTGTCCTCCACCTCTCCCCCAAAGACCACCTCGCCTTCCACCACATCCTGGCTTTATCCTCCAGTGAATACTCTGGTGCGCCTGACTTGGCATTGGTGCTCATCTTCCCTTTCCCTCCCCATCAGAGACGTCGTGTA